CGCTCTTCCACACCCTTGTTGCTACTCCTGGGATACCAAAATAGAGCACAGAGCTCACTGTTAAATGTTGGCTCTGAAATTCACTATTTACACTGACTTTCACACTGGAATTATTTCACTGTTCTGTGAGTGTCCCCATCTTGCAGATGACTATTACTTTGCCTAAAAACCAAAACAATAATAAGCCAACATCTGTTCTAGTATCTTCTTGGGAATTTAATGTTATGACAGCAGTGATAGTGTTCACTAAGCAAGATTATCTTATAAAATACATCAGCAGTGAAGAATCTACTTTGAAGCTTTGGAACTCCAAATTCATATAGAGTTTGTTATATGTTCCTTTGTACTTGGTAGCTTGTGTGTCTGGAACCTAACCAAACTTCTCCGCATCAAAATTAAAAACGTATCATGTATCAAAGATCACATAAAAAAAAAAAAAAAAAAAATCGATGCAATTGGATAAATACAATCCTCATCCAGTGGAATGCACAGTCTAGGTCAGAAACAATATTAGGAAAAAAGGGAAGATGTTTCTAAGATTAAGATAATTATGAAAAAACATCTGTGTTTTCTGTATAATATATAAAAAAATGATACATTGTGTGGCTATTATGGTGCATTTTTACAAAAGAAAAGGGAACTGGCAAAAGACAGACTATGCTAGAAGAGCAAGAGTAGATGGCACAGGTTCAGATGAGCTTTTAAATACTAATAAATTTTAGAACATGATGAGAGAAAACAGTTATTTTCAGGATTTTATTTCCTAAAAGAGCAATTCCTGAAAATAGGTTGTACATAACAGAATACAGTGCATAAATGCTCATCTTGCATTAAGTGGGTTAGCTCAGTTGGGTTTTCGGTTTTGTTTTGTTTGTTTTTACCTACTACAACTATTTCATTATATTTTAATAGAAGCTTTTCTATCTATATCACATTACTGATGATTCTATTACAGCTTCTTTGTGCTGATATTCCAGTGTTCCAGCTTCAGAGAAAACATGCTAGATGTTACTTGTAAAGGATGGAGAAGTAAATAGCCCTCCAGGTTGCATTTCATGATTACTTTTCTTTCGTGAGGAGAGATTCAAGCAGAAAACCAAAGAGATACAGTGGGGAAAAAGGAGGCATTGGCATTTTGCTAATTGACAGGTGTAGCAGAAGAAACTTCATTCCTGGTCTCTTTAAAACGTGCCGTTATACCCCAGCGGAACAGAAGAGGGCACTCCAGCTAGCTTGTCCCTTCCCGCTGTTGGTCCTGCTCGGCAGGATTCCCACTAGGTACAATTGCTGCGATCTGCTGTATACAAAATAAAAAGCTGCTTTCGCTTTCTCGCAATAGAGTACAATTACACACAAATGTCCTGGCTCTCTCCTACAGAGCAACTGTTTGTCCTCCTCAGCAGAATTCAAGAGCTATGTTCACCTCAGAAGTCAACCTGCAAATCAACAAAAACTTTTCAAGAACAAAAGCCAAATAAAATTGGAACCCATGTTTATGCAAACAGGACCAATTACAGAGAGTCAGTCTCCAAGGATGGCACAATGGGACACTGGAATAAACTGACTTACTCCAGTTTCAAATACACACAGCCTTACCTGAGAGATACTGTTCATCAAGCAACATAGAAACAATGAACAGTGCTAACAGGTCAAGGTAGGAAAAGCAGAGTAAGTCAGAAGTGGAAGAAAGCAACACCACAAGCACATTTCGAGTCCTTACCTTGAACAATATATCTTTTCCCCGACTGCGAAAACTAACTGCAAGGATTCTTCTTCTCCCATAACTTTCTCAACAAAATGAAAAAGTGGAGACTACACTTAACATGGTAACTCCATATCTTGCAAAGTCTAAATACTACAGACCCCACCACCACCACTGAGATGTCATAACTCTCATGGGCTCTATCAGCAAGATGGACTGTGCTTGTCACTGTCAAAGTGGCAGCTGCAGGGAGGACTTTCAAATCAAAAACACAAAAATCAGTAGCAAAAAGGAGTAATTATTCCCATTTGCTCACTCCTAGCAAGCAATTATTCTACCACTAAATACTGTTTTCTGATGAAATGGAAGTAAAAACAAATGTAGAGCCAAATGTTTTTTTGTTTTTAAACTACTGACTAAAATCCTAACAAATATTTAACACAAGAGAAACACCCATACGGTACAAATATCAACTCAAAAGTAAATGCACACCACTGAAAAGACTGAGTCTAAAACATCACTTACAGATTTGTTGTCATCAAAGGCATGCTCTTCTATTTCTTCTTCCAATCTATCAGCTGCCTTCCTGACATCTTCTAGAATTTCGTCAAGCATTGACAGGCTTTTGTTTTGATGCTGCATGTTCTTAAGGGCTTCAACCTGATGTTTTTCTGCTGCTAAGAGTTCGACGTATTCCATTTCTTCCTGTTGAATTTTACAACACACAGATAAAGCACTAGCCAGCCCTTCAAGCAGGAAAACATTTGACATAAATGTATGCTTATTTTGACACAAACCATCTTACGAGTGGAATTGCAAAAGCAATATAGACTTTATAATGGTATTTGAAGATTGCTTTCTCTTGTGCCAATTTTCATTGGGGGAAACGGGCAAGAAAACTAATAGACAACCAAACAAAATATCCACCAATTGCCTTTTCTATTCCATTAAACAGTAGAGCTTCCCCAAGGTTATGATCCAGAAAATACAGGAAAGGAATTACTCTGAGGAACTCTAGGAAACATTTCAGAGCTAAGCAAAGTTTAGAGCTCAGTGCTTTAGCAGGGAAGCATAATAAACTTGGAAGTGTAGCTTTACTAGCTACAACAAACAAACTGGAAGGAAAACACAATGAATCTTAATTTTATAAGCCATTTTATAAACATGGGAAGAGGTCTGTGTGTGGTTTTCAAAAACTACAACAACTGTGGAAACAGCTACAAAAAAATAAAAGCAGTTGGGAGAGTACAGATGAACAGTCAAGCACTCTAGCCGAGGTTCTTGTTTATGTTTCCCAAGAAGCATTTTTTCCTATCAGAAGTAAAATACGTGACTTTGTCCATCTTTTCAACTTATGAACTTGCCTCTTATGAACTTGCACTAATGACTTCTGAAATCCATTTCTAGGCTCAGAAGTAGGAAAAGAAAAAAATGCTGATGTGGTTCGATATGGTGTAAAAATATTTCAGTAGCTTTCCTGATAAAGTTCTGATGTTTCATTTATCTTTGGATATTTCAGGTTCAAAAAGAGAACTACAAAAGTTTTATTTACTGATCAAGATTGGACTTAACACTGCCCCTTCTACATGGTTACCAAGATAATAACCAAACATAACATTTTGTGTAGTGGCAGATTACAATTTGAGGGTTTTTTAGAAAAAAAGATGCTTCACTTTGCATGCCTGCATTCTTTTAAAGATGCACTGGTTGAGAGAGAGAACACCTAAGAATGAAGAAACATACGCAACGGCAGGCTTCTTCCTTTCACTTAGATGCAGGATGCTGAGAATATTTAGAAGAGAGACCCTACATCTGTTCTTTAAGAGAGCCAACATTATCACCAAGGGAAAAAAACCACACCAGGCAAAAAATACAAGCAATACAGGTCAGACTGAATTCCCAGAAAACACAAGTTTCTGTCTCCATTTTCGATGCCCTGCCATACCCAGTCGGAAATCAGACAAAACACACAACCTAAGGGAGACCTGTGTTCTATCTGCATACCCCCCACAAATATCTTAGATAACCTGGGCATCTAAAATGGTCCTAAATTCCTATGTTTAAATAACTGCAGTGTCTCCTCCTTCACACACATTTGTGGATGGATATTTTCCCCCTTGAAACCTGCAAGAACATGCATATAACGTAATCAATTCCTTGATGCCAAAACAAGAGTATGTTCAGTACAGCCTGTAACTGTAGCTTAACCCTTTTAAAAACCTCAGAGTCAGATGAATACCTCTGGTTGTGATGAAACCACAGAATTGCTGGCTCTTCTCTGTTGCTGTTTAGAAATACCATAGTTACACCGGCATGATGAAAATTACCCGGTTCCCAAAATAACTGGAGTTGGGAAAAATGTAACTATTAATGTGTTTGTCCCAATCTCATCTGCTTCAGTTCTTATGCAACGCATAAAAGACACAGTCACTCTCACACAACATCAAGGAAAAACATTTCCGATCTGTTGTTCTGTGCTAGCAGACATTGCTTGAAAAAAATGTAAAAAACAGCCCCCATATGAGCTGCAGATTCTTTCCTCAGTCAGCAACAACTTAGAACATGAGATGGAATTGATAAGGGTTAGATTCTTTACCCTCAAAAATGGAATGGGTTTTGGGTGGAAGGAGCTCATCAGTCCTTTCTGTCAGCTGAGACAAACTGGCTGAACAGAGTTAAACTGCAGAAAAGTAAATAAGGCTCTAATTTGCAAGAAGTTAACTTTCTCTGAAAAGCAAGGTAGCAGAGCTTTGAAAAATCTGAGTTTAAGTCCTTAATTAATTCCTTTAATTAGCAAAGAGTTTTGTAATCTATTAAAGTGGCATCTCTGTGTTCACGTACAGACCAGTGTCACGGCAGTAGAGCGGGACAATCACAGAGAATGGTGTCCACGTAAGAGACAAATTATCTCAGCCTGCCTCATGTGAAGCAGAAGCGCATCACAGTACAAACAGTGTTCTGCAACTCATGCTGGGAATGGAGACATCTGATCAGGTACATACCAAACAGTCTTTTAAGCAAGGTAATACAGATAAGGATTGTGCATTAAAGAGGAGACTGGAACACCTAGAAACACATGAGCTAAATGAAGTAAGATTAAGGAAGACTTTGGGGAAATGCTGGTTAAGAATGCAGTGTTGCTGTTGCTCTCTACTGTTTGCTAAGGGATGAAAAAAGCACATTCAGAAGAACATGCATCTTTGCACTACTTGAGAGTTGTTTTTTGCATCAATGTCTGAGTAGTAGGCACCAAGAAATTAGAAGCTGATAAAAAGTGGGTAAGATTTTGTTGCTTTTTCCCGAACCTCCACACAGGTTCCTGGAGAAAAGGAAGGCAGAAGCTATCTTCAGCGCTTCTTCCTTCCTCCTCCCACCACTATGAATGATTCTGCTATACCTTTTCCCAGCACCAGAACAAGCAAGAAATGCAACAGACATGCATACATATCCCAACACTAAAGACTTCCAAATACTTCAAATCAATAGAAATAAAATGAAGGACAGAGTCCAACACCCTCTACAGTAATTTGTATTTTCCATTCAATCACTGTTTAAAAAAATGAAAAGAATGTCTTGTGAGTACACCAACAAAGTAATTGTTACAGTAAAATGAAACTGGAACAAAATTGGATCTAATGTGTGTCTTCTGAAGTAAGAACAAGACCAAAAAAATTTTCGTCTTTTTGGCATGCATCTCCTCACTATCCTTTGTTTCATTTTATATAACAATTGTAAGGTTAGAACAACAAATATTCTGTTTACATAATCATGTGCATGACATAAGAAGGAAGGATGTAAAAGATTGCTCATCCAAGTAAATATCTTGATAGATAATACAAAAAAAAGCCTACACAATCCACGTCTGTATAAGTAAAGTTTTGACAGGATGCACATCTTAAACACACCATTATAGATGCAGATATCCTTTTATAAGGAAAATGAAGCAGTACCATTCTTAGGTTCAAAGATAGATTACTTCAGTATTTTACAGTAACGTTGCCAAGAATTAGGTAAATGAGAAAGAAGATTCTGGACAGTTTCACTGCTGCTATTTTAAGAGCTCTGAGGGGAAAAAAAAAAAAAAGAAAAAAGATGAAAAATCAAGTAATTTTCATGACAGTTGCTACCATTTCTATGCAGCAGAGGCTGGCACTACCATTAAGTGCCAGTATCAAAGTCATATTGAGCACTTCATTGGCACACACCTAGATCCAAACTACTCCCTATCCAAATTTGTCATAATTGTCTTTGTTTTCACCGCACAGACCACTCCAGTCTCCCAAGTCTGCATCCTAACTGCTATTTTCACCAGCCTTTCTTGCCACAATTCACCACACACCTTTCTTGCACACAATCTCTTGCCGCCTTCACCTGTTAAGATCTGCACATCTCGCACACAGATGTCCTTTAGATATTCTCCCAGCTCAGATGCTATATCCGAACTACTTTTTTTCCCCCTCCTTCTCTTGCTTTGTTGCACAAGGGCAGCCTCTTCTTTTAGAAAGCAGAGAACAAAGATAATTCTTAATATTCCTCCAGTGGTTGAGGGGTAGAGCAAGGAAGAGAGCAATTTAAATACCAAATCAGTTACATGACATTTTCTCTCAATGGGAGACTTTCAGTACACAGTCTGAGCACTTTCAAGTCCAGTAGACAGTGGCAGATTGTGCACACCCTAACAGGTCTGCATTGACATGGGAACTCAAATTTTCCATGGAGTATTTGTGCTCAACTGTTACTCATCTGTGCTTTTCTTGGTAAAGTTATCTCAGCCAGCTCTTTCTTAGAAGCGCTGTTTTTCAAACCTATGCTTCTTAGGCTAGGAGTGCTACACTGAGCTTAAAAATCTAGTCATCTCATATTTTGCATGTCCATTTTACCCACATCTATATGAATACGGAAATAAAAGGCAAGAAGTCATTCTGTTTAAATTATAGATTTTGGTTGAGTAATTATCATTTAAAGCGGAAAAAACAGTTAGCATTTGGCAATTTATGGCATTATTTCCACTCTGATAATCCCACTGGTTTATCTAGTGCAACTGTGCAATGTGCACTGACTCACTTCTTGTATTCCTATCACTTTAACATAATATTTGCCGTAGGTCTTATGATTAGGCTTAGCTTTGTTTTGAAATAAGAACTATTGACTGTCAGTAAGTTCTAAGGTCTACACTGGAATTACTTCTAATTTTACTAATGAGAACAAGTACTCCATTCAAAATCCATTTTAAATGGTAAAACACTGCAAGTTTTATGTAGATCCACTTTTTTATTAAAACAGATTGAAACCATGCCATAATAAAATTAAAATTGCAAGAATAATATTAAAACTCTAGTAATAAAGATAGGGGAACTAACCTTAATTGCAGCTTCTCTCAAGGCTTCCAGCCTTTGTCTACTGCTTTCTTTCATATTTACAACATCTTTGTAATCACCCTGTAGAGCTCTCTGGAGGCCATGGATTGCTTGAAAGACTGAGTTTTCACTTTCATTTAGCTCCTTTTGGAAAATTTCAAAGGTATGCACCTGAAAAAGTTTCTCTTCATCTGACAGTCCCACATCCTTCTCAACTGCTCTTATAGCATTTTTTAGTTTGTTGAGAACAACATTCTTTTGGCGAAGAAGACCAGACAGTTTTCTGCAGCTCTCCAACATCCACTGCTTTCTCTGAGTGATAACAGCTCCTTTCCCACGGTGCAGCTTTATGGCATGCTTTACTACATCTTCATGTTCTGCAGGATTTGCTAACCGGCCACAAGGCAGTGAAACCAACGTCCATAGGGAAATAAATCCAGTCACCTTCATTCTTCACTTTTTATTGCTGTTGGGAGAAACTGATAATCCACAACTGCTCAAAGCTTTCTGCTACATGGTTTCCACATCTCCAGTATGCATACCATGCTGCAAGACAGTACAGTACCAATCAGTTATCAAACATGATAACGTTGGGCCATTCCATCAAACAAAGGTAGAAAACAAACCTAAGACTGCGTCCTACATTATGTTCTTTAACAGAATGTCTATGGTCTCCTTCAGCCAACTGTTATCAAAACCAAGAAACAGCCCAAGGTTATTGATAGATTTTTCTTTTCCCCTTGAGTATTTTCTAGACATCATCTTGTTTTAAAAACACTGAATGGAAAATCTAGTCATATCACATGGTAGTCATCTGGACTGCTTCTTAGAAGAGAGAAAAGCCATTAAAAATATTAAGCCACGATGCCATGGGCTGTACTTCAACCTAGTACCAGAATTCATTCTCCTTATCTATTAGTAAAGCACTTATACTGTTTCAAACTTTTCCTAAAAAATTATCATAATCATGTTATTTATACAGCCTCAGAAGCATTAACACACTCAACTATACAAAATATAATGAAAAAAAGCTTAACTGAAACAGATTACATTATAAATCACACTTGTGAAAGAAACATTTCTACAGTAAAGAAGTAACAGCAAAAATTCCTGGACTTCTGAGCAGTATTAGTTTGGATCAAAGATACTCACCCGAAAGGCTGCCTGGCCTTGAGGTATTTTACTTCAAAGCTAATTACTGATCCTCATGATTTTAAAATAGGGTTATAAGAACACTAAAGGTAAAATCAATTCATTCATAAGTTCGTTTCCCAGAAGCTACTCGAAGATCTATATTTAAACTGCTGTATTTGCTTTTAAGACCAAGCAGGGTAGAATTTCAAAACTATGAACCAATTTCCTTCCCCCAGATCCTACAGGAAAATACTGACATTATTGTAAAATAACAAAGTTACATTTTCTTAATAAAACCCCCCACCAAACCCACAAAAACCCACAAAAAAACCCCACACACCACAAAGCTATAGATAACAATGTATAAATGTACGTACAAAACATATATTCATCACTGAAGCATGGCACTCCAAAAATGCACAGCACACACTACATGTTAGTAGATCATCAATAGAGTGGATATTTGCCTAAACTTTAGCTGCAATCTTTATCTCTGGGCCAATGGACTTAATCAGGAACCAACATATGGACGTAGTCATCTGGAAGCAGTCTGCCTAAGAGAGAATCTTCTTTCCCCATAATGCAGCAGCAGCCGCAATCACAAATATCCAAGCCAGCCATCGTCAATATATAGAATGGGAAGGGAAGATGGCAAGCACAGCTATGCACTACCTTCATTTTTAAAATGCACTCCAATTTCTGTTTCAGAGAACTGAGAAAACGTGTTTGTAGGTTGGTTGATTTCTTTTCAATGCATGAAATGCAAGTCAAAGTATTTAGCTATCATTAGTTGACTATAGGCTAGGGTTTAACAACATGAAGTGCTAGAAAATTTAAAATTAAGAACCAAAAGTGCAATTGAAGTAGCAAAAGCATGTCTACATCACACTAATTTCAATAAAATAATAAAGTAGAAATATTTCAGAACTTTGATAAAGCTATGGTGTTTATTGTTTATAAGAGATCAGGAAAAAAACCAGCAATCCCCGGCACCTGGCAAAATTCTAGAGTGATATTTAAGGGAATATTTCTTCATGTATACGAAGTAATACTCTTCCTGTTTAACGTGTTTGGGGGAGAGACTTTGCTGAATATATTACGACCTATTCCTGCAAGAAAGAGGGAGAAGAAAACGCCTAGTGTATACTCAAGCTTCCGTTTGCAGGGAGATGAGTAAACCACTCTATTGCATGTCTTATGTGGTATGTCAAACCACATAACTAAATTCTGAGCAGAGATTTATACTAGTAAGTTTGCCCATTGTCGCACTGTGTAAACTTACCACCGCAGTTCTGACACGGTATAGTTTCAGTGTTTTTTACTTGGCTAACAAAAACTATTTAGAAAAGTGGCACCTGCAGCAGTGCTCAAAAGCTCTTAAGGGAATGATGACCTCACGTATAAAAATATATTATGTGCATCAGAGCACAAATGAAGAGGAAAAAAATCCCACACTCCATGCACCAGTATTTACCAAATTATAGGGAACTCCTGTCGTTCGGAGTTCCTTTTAAGCACAGTTTGTTATCTGATGGATTGCAGCTCATCTTCCCGGTTTTTCCTTCCCGAACACGATACCGTAGTACCGGATTACATCAAGCTGATAGCTTGCCTCCCATGCAAACCCTGCTCCTCTCTTCCAAAACGCTTGCGGATCCTTCCACAAGCGCCTTCTCAGGACCCGCAGGGCAGCCGAGGCGGGGGA